AGAGAGACAGGCAGAGAGAAAGAAAGAGAGAGAGACAGAGAGATTTAAATAGATAATATATAAAAAAGTCATAACAATTTAAAACTTTGTAAGCTTAACATGAGAAACTAAAGAACAATTCATCAGTGCTTTCAGATTTATCATATGTAACATGCAAGTACATAAAGGCATCTTCTTGTAACTTCATCTTCTGCTGCAGCCTTGTTGATTGTTATATGGAAATTCAAAAATACAATGCCTGGTCAATCAGTCAAGGAGATCATGTAGCCCAAAATGAATAAACAAGGAAATAAGATGTCCTACATAGAAAACCAAGAAAAACAGGCTTATTAAATATTATCAAATATAATTAAATTGATCTTATTGATTAAAGAGATTTTGGTAGATTTTATAACTCTAAAAATATTGTTAGTATTGGGACTGGGATATAACGCAGTGGCATTAGCTCCTGCCTGGCAAGTGCAAGGTCCTGAGTTGGATCTCCGGGACCACAATATATATATTCAGTATCTGTTTATAAATAGTTTATTATCTGTAAGAAATTCAACATATACTTTTATATCTGTTTAAGATTCAGAAAATAAAATTAAACAGATTAAATACATACTTTCCCACACAATTGAAAGAAACAAATATATAGTTTACTGATGTAGAGTATAAAATGTATTAAACTCATGAAAGTATGATCTTAAACTGAAGCAGTAAATGATATCTTGGCTCAGAACTGAGGAGTGTTAATAAGTCACGTTTAATTGATCCTTAAAACATAATGTCTAACTGAGCTAAATGTGATGACAGTCTATTCATGTGTTTGTTGCAGTCTGCTCTGGAGCTAAAATTTATTAAAAATTTATTATAATTTATTTTATCAAGACACAATATTGATCATTAAGCTCACAGCTTTCATCTATGTTTCAAAACCCTGTGGAAGGCATTTTGTACATCTTTGTTCCTAAAGCTATAGATCAAGGGATTCAGCATGGGGATCACTAGAGTGTAAAACACAGAGGCCAGTTTATCAGTTTCAAAGGAGTGAGAGGACTTGGGCTGCACATACATGAAGAGAAGAGTCCCATAGAAGATGGCCACCACGGTCAGATGGGAGCCACATGTGGAGAACGCCTTCTTCCTCCCTTCTGCAGAACGCATCCGACATATGGCTAGGAGAATCAGCATGTAGGAGAGAAGAACAGCCAGGAGAGAGGAGATCAAATTGAATGCTGACAACAGTATGGTCAGCAACTCCATTTCTTGCACATGTGAACAGAGCATAGGTGACAACAGGACAACATCACAGTAGAAGTGGCTGATGGTGTTTGAGCCACAGAAGGTCGAAGTAAAATACTTAATAGGGAACAGCAGAGCGTGAAAGGTGCTGTAGAGGTACAGAATGCCCACCAGCATGTGGCAGCGTCTCTGGGACATGATGACATTGTAGAGTAGCGGGTTGCAGATGGCCACATAGCGGTCGTAGGCCATGGCTGGCAAGATTGAAAATTCACTGACAATGAACAAAATGAAGAAGGCCATCTGGGTGGCACAAGCGTGATAGGAAATGGTATTCTGAAGCACAACAAAATTAACCAGCATCTTGGGACAGATGGTAGTGGAATTCCCAAGATCAATGATAGCCAGGTGTCTGATAAAAAAATACATCGGTGTGCGCAGGTGGGAATCCAGTTTGGTCAGAATGATCATGACTAAGTTACCCAGCACTGTGACTGTGTAGATGAAGAGAAAAATCCCGAAAAGTGGGTGCTGCAGTTCAGGCAACCTTGTGACCCCCGTGAGAATGAAGTGCCGTGGCACTGTTAGGTTTGAGGTGAGCATTTGGATGCCAGCGGAGTTTGTTAACTTTTGCACTGCACCTTCTGAAAAAAATACAGGGTTTAGAGAGGAAATCAAAATAGGCAGGGTAAAGGCAAATAAATGATACAGCTGATTTTGAAATAAGGATAAACGGTAGCATATTTGAACTTCTTGGAGGTAAAAATTCATACATAGTTCCTAAATTTATAGGATCTAAATTACAAAGTGAGTAAAGTTTGGAACATTATCCATTGCAGGCAAAGCTACATAGGAAGTCAGAAAAAATTAATTTTGTGTATTCTGTATAATGCCAAAATACATTTCCACTCATCAACTTTAATTTTTATGAATTTATTTGAATCTGTGAGCAAAATAGAACTGCTCTGACTGAAGCTACTAACGCTTATTTATCTTAATTCAAGTGGATGTTTTACCTATGCTATTTGGTTTCTCTTCAGTGAAAACCCGGAGCTCTTTATGATTTTTTTTGCTTGGAGAAACTAAATAAAACAATATGCAATGTACAGAAATGCAGGACGAAAATATTACAACACAAGGCCAAGCCGAGGTGAGCCTGGTTACTTCCTGGTCCTAGGTCTTCGGTGGTGTACCATGAGGGGTGCACCACAAACCTCAATGAGTTCAGCTCCATTTTGGTGCAGAGACCACGTGGCCATGGCCAGCAGTTTCAGGGAGCTGCGCTTGCTCTGAGCCCACCTTGTCCTTCTGATTGGCAGAATGGGGCCGGCCAGGGGGGAGGTGCCCAGGAGAAAACTCAGATGCTTTCGCGTCCTTCCTCAGGACGGAGTTGTCTGCTCTTTCGCCGTTGATTCCTACTCTTACCTCAGATCCTTTCTTTCCCCTCAAGTGGAAAGAAACCATAGACTGTCCCCTTCTGAGCAGTTAATTTAGCATTTGAAGAATACTGACTGACTCTCCATTTGCATTGCCCGCATTCTCTAGTGCTAAGGAAATCTGCATGTTTTTGCTCTGAATATCATTGTATGGAAAAAGTTAGTATTTCAGTTTTGTGATCTAAAAATTTGTCAGGACTAATTCAAGTTCAGTTTCTGCAAAATTTTATAAGTCTTAGATTCTTTTTTGCATTTCTCAGATTGTAGTAACTATCAAAAAGTAGCCTCACAGTAAATAGCAAAACTTACCAATAAAATTTTTCAAACTTTTGTAAGCAATAACATCATGAAAAAAATCATTGAATTTATAAAATTTATATGGTTAATACTTATTTTTAAAACATTGTATTTTATATCTGCATTAAGTTATGCTCGTTATTTATTTGCAGTGCATATGATGTATCCTACAATAGCTTGTTCTTTGTGTGAAAACCAAATATAACAGGACATCCAATAATTCGTGTTGAAATGCTGATCTTCGTAGATCCTAATAAGTAAGACTTTTGACAATGTTTCTGGTATCTCTAGTTCTTTTTACTTGGAATTTCCAAATATCAGTACCAACTTTCACAGCTCTTTGAGTTAGCATTTACATTTAATTAGTAGCACCTGAAGCACATGCCACACCAGCCCTGCCCCAGGGCGTGCTGAGCCGCCACAAGCCCAGGCATGGTGGTGTACACCTAGAGCCCCAGCACTGGGAGGCTGACAACAGGAGCATCACTGCCAGTCTGAGCTGTGTAGTGAGACCCTGCATCAAACACATTTTTTTAAAAAGTACTTAAAGCTCTAAAAACCTTATGATGCTGAAAGTCCAGTTAACAAGGAATCTCCAACAGTTCCCACAGAAGCTATGCTCAGAAGCTGAAGTAATGAGAGAGCAACAAAAAGAAAGACTCTTCGAAAATAAAATAAAATAAAATAAGAAAAGACTCTTTGTACTCACTTTTAATGTAGGATTGAAATTTTGTTTTTCATTTTACTCATACCTGTGCTTTTCATTTGCAAATTAATAGATTTTTCTCCCTCTTATGTGGTTCCCTAAATAAGCAACATTTAATTCATTGAGATCATTATGCCAAATCTTATGACTTAATAAAAGACATCTTAATACATGTTGTAATTATTGAAGAACTCAGCTTATTCCCCCTTGAGAAAATGTATGGGACATCTCAAAGGGAGGAACAAAGCAACAAAGGTGATCTGTGTAGTTCTGTGGGGACCTACATGGTTTAAAGGCACTTGTTATAATGCGACTAAAAGTTAAGTTGTGACTCCCAAGAAATACTACCTCTGGATAATAGTTTTATTAACACACAGCATCCAGATAACTCTAATGCAATTATCTGTATCAGGCATATGTGTAAGACATTACTGGTGTAGTCACTTAGACAATAATCAAAATAACCTGATCAAAAGTAAGATCTAGTATAAGACAACATTGTATCAAAGGGCCTCCTTTATGGCTAAAATATTTCTTAGAATTGAAAAAAAATTAGGTAAAATGAAACACAGATATAAGCTATAGAGACTTTTTTTTTTTTCAGAACAGGATTGAGCTCAGGCCCTTGTGCTTGCCAGGGAAGCGCTTATTCTACTGAGCCATCACCCCGGCCCCGAGACTAATATTACAAAATGATGTTTCAGTTGTGTTCATTGAATAATACATTTTTATGTATTTAGTACAGGGTCTATAGTGTCTCAGTACACAGAGCAAATTTGTAGTGATCCTCCTGTTTTCAGCCTCCCAAGTGTGGGATTACAGGTGCGTAGCACAATGCCCAGGCTCATCTGCTGTCTCAGAGTGCCCAGGGGCGGGGCTGGCATGGCATGCTGAGGATTGAACCCTGCGCTCTGCACCTGCCTAAGCAGGCACTTTAGTCTGCTGAGCTATCTGATGGGCCATTTCATTGAATAATACTTAAAAGACAGAGAAATATTTTCAAAACTGAAGAAAATTTTATCATAATGCTTTAAAGCTTGAGGATTTGCTCAAAAAATAAGTCAAAGCTTAATATATTTCAGAAGTGCTCTAATTTTTTCATTTTTGTTTAAGCCTAGCATATTTGTTATCCATGGAACAGTTTGTCTATCATAGCCGATTTGTTCATTACCAGAAGACAATGTGTTAGAAGCATACTTCTTTTTGTGAAACAATTATATTTGTATGATAGACAAATATGATTTGACATATATTTTTTTT